ACAAGCTCTGCAAGTAGGCAGGCAGGCAGGCAGGCAGCAGCAAGGCTTATGCAGTGGAAAAATGGAAAGACAGACTTGACTGAAAAGCAGGGGTAATACTTCAGCACCAAAGCAGAAAGTCCTCGACGCTGCTGTTCTGCATTCTGTCTCACAGTCCTGGCTCACTCCAGCTATCACACCTCATCCAGCCAGTCCTAGAGCATGGACACTTGTGTCTCTCTGGTTTTTTGCCTTGAAAAGCCACCTCAGGAACTGCTTGCCCAGGCCAAGAATAACAGGGAATACCTGTCTCTCCCAAGGGAGGGGAATCACACGGAGCAGCTGAGCACCTTGGTGGCAGCGCCTCTCTGAAAAGCCCCAGCAGGTCATGAGCTGCTTTTGGGAATTGCTGAGGTCCCAGATGGAGATTTCTGAGGTACCACTTCCACCCTGTAGGCGAGTCTGCAGCCACAACCCCCTTCCTCCCCTTCCTCCCCTTCCTCCCCTTCCTCCCCTTCCTCCCCTTCCCAGCTGGGCTGGGACCTGCCTCTGAGGTCCCACAGCTCACCTTGCTGGGGTGACGGAACCCAGGCTTGGTTTAGGGGTTCCGCGTGGTGGAAAAGTTTATTTTCTAATTTGTGCTTCTAAAGAAAGGTTCAGCAGTCTTTTGTTGTTTGGTTTTAAGGCAGTTCATTGTAAGCTATTCAAAAGATTGTCTTTTTGGGCTACTGCAGTTTGGTTACTAGCTCAGGCAGAGGCACACACACCTTTGACATTTTCTTTGTCTTTTGACTTCTTTTTTTTTCCTTCCTGCCCTTGGGTTGTTGCTATTTTTTATATGGCACATTACGTGATAAATGTTTATAGGGTTTTTTTAATACTTACTACTTATATTAAATGGTGGTTTTTTTTACTCTAAACTGATTTATAAGTGCTAACATTACTAAAAACATGGAGATAAGGAAGAAGAAAGAGGAAGGATAAGACTGGCAAAGAATCTTTTTATTTTAAAACTTTTGACTTACTTGTATAAAGTAAAAACCCCCCTGTAGAGGTGTTAAAACCCCCCTGTACAACACTAAAAAATTCTTCCCTCTACTTTGTAACTACTTCTACTATAATATCTAAACTTTTGTGGCTTCTTGTTCTTCCTGCAAAGTTGGTAATTCATTCCATGGCTCAAACCCAAAATCACAGCTGTTTCCAGCTGCCTGCCAGGGTCTCAAATGCTTCTGACCAAGGCCTGGAACCTCCAAAAATGTCTGAGGGACATTTTGAGTTCCAACACTGGGGTGCCTAAGCATCTTATGGGCACCTTTCCCAAGATGATGTGATGGCGATGTGAATAGCATCCCCTTCACCCATCCTTTGCAAATTAGGACTTCAGTTCCCTAAACCATTAGAGCAGCTTGCCCTTTTTTTTTCAGCACACCGCCTGGATGCTGGAATCTGAAATGCTGAAGTTCTCAGAACTTTGGGCCTGTAAGACAAAGCTTAGAATGAAACACAAGATTTGATCTGAGACCTTGGAAAAGGCTTCCGAACTTAGGGGCAAGTAGTGAGAATGTGGATTTATAGTTTAAAGCACAGGTATGTTAAGCTAAGTAAAGGAAAATTAGGGTTTAGAGTTTAAGATATAAAAATAAAAATAGTTGCAAAGGTAAACAAGGAGTTTAGAATGCAGTACTGTTGGTTTGTGTGTCATAACATGGTTAAGAAAGCTGACATTGTAGAATGGGTCCATACGACGAAATATTTAAGGATTGGGTCAAAACCATAAATATCTTTGTTAGCAGTGTTTTATATATTAATCAATAACTCCTTAAAAGGCCTTGTAACTAGGGGTTACAAGACCCCTAGATGACCTTCTGAATGATGGGGTAAAAAGGTGAGCCAAATTCACCCTTCCTGCCTAAGTCAAAGATAAGAACAATAAATCACATAATAAAAAACTACTCAGAGGTCCTGCCTCTAATTCATCCAAAATTCCTTCAAAAATCCCCATACCTGAGTATTTTGCTGTTAGTTCATTATAGATCACAATCCCACAAAAAAATAGCACTAATCCCTTCTTTACCTGTGCCAGTGAAGTGTCTTTATGGAGAGAGAAACAAATACAGGTAAAAAGTTGGAAGGTTGGTTTCTTTCTTTGTTGTTTTTTTCTGGAACATCACTTAAAAAAAATCACTTAAAAAAAGAACATCACTTAAAAAAATACTCAGACTTGCTGGCTCAAATCTGATTTTGATTCTCAAAATGTCAATTTTAAAAGTAAAACATCTTATTTTCTATGTAAAGTCACACAGTGTTCAGTTCTCATTCACACCAATGCAGAGTGTGGAGGGCTCATTTTTGTTTCCTTTAATTATTACAAAGCAAGTGTAAGTTTTCTTCAGCTCTTCAAGGAAAGTAAAAAACGCTACTTCCATGACATCTATCCAGGCCTGCTATAATTACAATATTAGCTGGCTCTTCATTTTCATGTTTACTGCACTAAGAATGTAATGAATTGCAGTCTGACTCCCCTATGGGAACAGTGCAGTATTGATGCAGTATAAAATAATTAATTTGTTGTTAATTAACAATAAGCTAGATTCAGATCCACAAGTGGATCTCCTCCTGGGGAGGAGCCACTAGGGAGCAGGTGGCAGTGTCACTGTCACCTGCAGGAGGTGGCAGCTGCCCCCAGGACTTCCTTCCCCCACTTCCTCACGCATTCTTATTCCTGTTTTGAGGCTGGGAGTGGACACTATCCATCCTTGCTGCCTGAGAGGTTGGAAAATCCCTCATCTGTAATACAAGGACTGGAGGAATAATCCAGCAGCATCAGTGCCAGCAAAAAAGGAGGGCTGGGGGCAGTGCGTACATGTGTGCAAAAATCAACGTCGTGCTACCTGGCTCTGCATTTTGCAAGGATAAAAACCCACACTTGCTTACTGATGGAAGTTTCTCTTGGCTTTTTTGCAAAAGCAACACCACCACATGCTGGTGGCAGCTGTGCACAATGCTCTGTGGGCAGCAGGTGTGCCCAAGGGGCAGCATCTTCCCTGAAGATAACTTGGAGGGATTTTCACTCAGGGATTCTTCCTCAGGAAGCCAGCAAGTAATTTTCAAAGCCAACCTGAATTCTCACCTCTAAACCAGTTCCCCCTCCTCATCTCATCCTGGTGCAGAGCAAAAGAGACCCTCGGTGCTCATGAGGATTGCATTAGCCTTGAAAGAAAAGCCCACTAAAAGATTTGGGCCCACCATGGTAGGCTGACTTTGGCTGGCTCTCAGGAGCCCACCAATATTCCCTGTAGCTCTGCCTCCTCAAGTGAAGGGGGAAAATGAAGTGACAAAAGGGTCATGGGTTGAGTTAAGGACAGGGAGAGATTACTCACAAATTGTCAAACCAGATTCAGCTTGGGGGAAATTAATTCAGTTTATTGCCAATCAAACAGATTAGTACAATGAGAAATAAGGACAAACACAAAACCACCTTCCTTGTGCTCTTCCTTTCCTTCAGCTTCTCTCCAGATATTTCCTACGTCCTCCCCCCAAGGTGGGATGGGAATGTGGCTTGTGGTCACTTCATCACAGTTTGCCTCTGCCGCTCCTTTCTCTTACCCTGCTCCACCTTCTCCTGAGTGCTCCAGTTCTTCATGGACTGCTCCAGCATGGATCCCTCCCACAGGAAACAAACCTCTTTATCATCGCTTAAACCAAAAACTCCTGCTCATAATGTTTCCAGTTTCTCTGATTTTCATCTTAAAGCTCATCTCTAGGATATCCAGTCTACCATTCCTTTGTCAGATGTCAGCTGGTAGGTTCTAGATCCTCCAAATTTAGCCAACTGTAGACAACAGTTCATTTAACCAAAAAAATCTCCCCCCCCCCCCCCCCCNAAAAAAAAAAAAAGAAACAAAACAGAGATCTAATCCTATTACTTGCAGAGAGAAAAGATAGGACATGAAAGTTCACATGGTAATTAAAAAGAAACAACCAGTGCTACCTATTAAGCTAGACATGTTAACTAATGACCTGCCCCAAAATCTTTGATGTCCCACTCTGTCCTCATTCTATTTGTTTTCTTGTATTTCCTACATTGCCTGCAAATTATTAGGAAAACCAGCAAGCTGTCAAGAGAAAATGAGCTCAGGATATCAAGAGGCCATAAAAGAAAAATGTTTGAGGGTTCAAATTTCTGCTTTAGATATGATAATTCAAGACCTTTCACTAAATCAGGACAACTACACCTTTTCCCTAGAAAAAAGCAGAACCCCCAACTCACAGCCTGATGGAATAGCTCAAGAGCAGACAGATGGTGTTCTCTGCTGTTGCAGTTAATAATAGGCTGTCAAGCCTAAAACCAGTAAACAGCTCCAGCATTGAGGCCAGCAGGATTTCTTCTAAACCTCTGGATGCAGAGCAAAGTGTGTCAGGACAGGTGCCCTGCTTCCTTTCACTGGGGCAGCCCCCCTCTCCTGATGATTCACATGGAGAGAAGATGTGACTCTTTCACCACTTCATTCCTATCAAGGCTTTTTGGAGCACGGAGGCAAAGAAGATTATCATTCCAGATCAGGAAAATTGCCTGGTTTTACCTCCCCGTCTCAGAAAGCCCTTAAGTCACAGATTAGTGGCGAGGCTCAAGGCAGAGCAGGGGGTGTTTTTTGGTGTCCACACAGGCCCATAAAGAGGTGCACACCTCTCTTTTTGCCTTGGTTTGCATTTGTGGCTTTTTGGTCAGGTGAAGAGCAAAGCCAAAAAGCTTCCAAGGAGTGCCAAACAAGAAAAAAAAATAAAAAGTGCTGGCATGGGGTTTCTCCTTCCCAGCGTGGGGCACAACCAGGAGCCACATGCTAAAGCCTCTGTGGGGTTTTTGCCATGCTCAGGTCTTGATGCACTGTGAAAAATCCAAAATGACACTTGAAGAGAGTGAAGATTTGAGGGGAGTGGGATAAATTTTGTATTTTTGCTCATCTTCTGGAACTTGCAGATCCATCCCTAATCTTCACCTCTATTACCTGTCCAGGTTTATGGGTCTCCATCTCTCTGCTGCATCCCAGAGCTCAGTGGAAAGCATCTTTCTGTCCACCCTTGGAGAACTGAGCCATGATAAAACCTGCAAAACCAGTAAGTCACGGTAATCTAACACAGGCTGGGCTAACAGGGCTGAGAAGCACTGCTCTAGATTCAAAACTCCTCAGGGCAGCACATTTCTCCTTGATCAGGGGTGTAAAATGGCTTATCCTGCTGGTACTGTGATATTGTTTTGGACCTTCAGGTAGGGCTGATGTAAAAATAATAGGTGGTTTTCATTCTAGGTCTCTCCTGTTCAAACAGTTAGGATATTGTGGGAAAAAAGCAACCAAGAAACCTTGAAACCAAACCAAAAAAAACCCCACAAACAAATAAAAATAACAAAATGCCACAAAAACCACACACACACACAAAAAAAAATAACAAACAAAAACGAACAAAAAAACCAAAACCCCAAACCCCAAACAAAAGACCAACCAAACCCCTCCCCCAAAAAAATAACAGCCAAAAAAAAACCCCAAACCCCCCAAAAAACACCCCACCAAAACAAAAAAACAAAAACAAACAAAAAAAACCAACAACAACAAAAAAACCCACAAACAAACAAACAAAAAAAACATTAAATCCCCACTGGAAATCTGGAGAGCTGGGCTGATGTAAGGCAAGGATAAAACTACTCATCTTTTCTGCAGAGTAACTCTCTGTATCTTTGCTGTACTTCAATGTGTTTCCTTTCTGCTACATTCCTATTTCAAGTATTCATTGCTAATTTCTGTTCCAGCAGTAACAGAATAAAAAGTGGCACTTGGAATGCACAATGGAAAAAAACAAAGCAAACAAGGTCCTTAAACTGGACAAACTGATTTTCAGTATTAAAAATCTCTGTGTATGGAGACTTCTACCATTTTGATGCAGATTTAAATAGGAAATACTTCAGATATATGAGTATGTGTTTTCTTTTGCCATTCAAGTAACAGAACTTTGCTTCTTATGTGCAGGTCAGATTTTCTTCTGCTGGTATTTGAAGTTGCCACTCATCCACAACTAGAGAACAGGACTAGGACCAGAATCCCAGGGTTATTACAGCTGGAAAAGAGGTCAAGTCCAACTTGTGACTGATCCTCACCTTGTCACCCAGGCCACAACACTGAGTGCCATGTCCAGTCATTCCTTGGACACCTCCAGGGATGGGGACTCCAGCACCTTCCTGGGCACCCCCTTCCAGTGCCTGACCACCCTTTTCATGGAGAAATTCCTCCTGAGGTCCAGCCTGAGCCTTCCCTGGAGCAGTTTGAGGCAATTTCCTCCTCCTGTCGATTGTTTGGAGAGAGGAAGCCCACACTCAGATCCTAAAGGAATGATTGCACACATCAGCATTTCAGGGCAGGATTATCCTCTCTGTGCACTCACATGGCCCAAGGCAGGCATGTCAAAAACAGAGAGGAGGAACAATTTTTTGAGTGCTGCAGAAGGGAAGTGAGCAGACTCAAATATTAGAAATATGTGTCCACCACAGTGCAAGTCATCTGTCCCATGACCTGAGGAAATCGTGACTGCACAGCCAGGCAAAGGAAGGGGGAAGGGAAAATGGGAAAAGGGAAAAGGGAAAAGAAAACAGAGGGTGTATACAATCACACAGAGGGGGATGCAAGACACCAGCACCTTCCCAGGAACTTTGAGTTACATCTCGAGGGTCACCCATTGCCAGGAATTTTCCATCTCACCATATCCTGTGCCAGACAAGTGCCTGAGCAAACGAGAGGTCTCTGTGCAGGGCACCAAGCCTCTCCTAATTTGGAAATAAGGTGAATTATGAAAACACTCATCCTGAGGTGACCTCCCTGCCAGTGCTGAGCTTCATTACCAATCTCCACTGGCAGAGGAAGAGGAAACTTGGAAATTCAACTGTAAAATGCCCACAGGTGGGCTGTTGGCTGATAAGTTCAAAATGATGTTATGTTCAATCAGGCCAATTACTGGGAGATTACATGAGTAGGTTTAACTCAAAGAATAAACTTCCTGAGATCCATGGATCTGGTAGGTTGTCAGCTTGAGTAAAAGCGAGTTGTGTCTCCCAAGAGTTTTACCAAGCTTTTATGATCCATGGGACAAAAAAAAAAAAAAAAAAAAAAAAAAAAAAAAAAAAAAAAAAAAAAAAAAAAAAAAAAAAAAAAAAAAAAAAAAAAAAAGAGTGAATCCAGGGAAGGAAAAGGCAAAAGGCTGAAGCATGGGGACAGTGTGGGGTGGGGAGGTGTGCCAGACAGTGGCTCTGGTGACAAATGGAAGAGCCAGCCCTGTGCTGTTAACATGTCTTGATTCCAAAGAGAGGCAAGGACAAGTGCTTCAGGATTCTCTCCTGCATATGAGATTTCCTCCCACCACTCCTTCTGAGGTGGGACATGATTCTGTCCTGTCCTGGGTGGGATCATCCTCACAGACTGAAGGGGAAAGGATGGACAGGCAGGACAGCTGTTAAACCCACCAGAGAAAAACTGGTGGAGTGCAGTAAGTGCCTTCTAATTTTGGTCCTTCAGAATAACAGATCCAAAGGATGCGAGCAGGAGATTTTCAAAAGCCATGAGCTTCAGCCCAGCTTTGGTCTCACTGCAGCCAGCAGGAATGTTACTCCTGATTACCAATGGGAACAGAATAAAGTCGGGAGTGAGCAAACCCCACCTTTGAGAGCAGCATTGTTCCTTCCCTCCAGAGCTGAGCAGAGGCACGTTTCTGATGATCAGCAAAAAGCCTGCATTTAATGTCAGCCGAAGGGGGAGAGAGCTGGAAACCTCAGAGACACCCTAGGATGTCACAGCAGAACAGGAGGCTGCGCTGAGCCGGGGATGAAAAGATAAATGGGGCAAAGGCAGCGCTCACAGGGACTCTGACAAAGACAGGAGGAGGGAAGGAGGGAGAAGGGAAGCTCAGGGAACAAAAGGACAGACTCTGCTCTTACCCAGGCTGAAGCAAACGCTGCTGCAGTTTGTGATAACTGAGTGTGGCACTCTGGGGGAGAAGGGGAACATTTGGCTTTTTTTGTTTATCACAGGTGAATGTGCTTACACAGCAGGTGTGGGCAACACAGACCTGGGCGCAGCTCATCAGGAAACAGAAAATAAAACCCAAGAAGTGTCTGTTACCAAACCAAAAGGATGACATCAGTAAGACCAGACCCTGAAAAAACAGAGGCACTTCTATAAGGTGCCCACAACATCCTTTAGATCATTACGCCAAGGCTAACACTGAACAGTGATTTAAATAAATAAATTCTGGAGAAGAAAATGCATTGCTTGCCTCTTTCTTCTATATTTGTAGTGGTGAATGGACCTCTAGTGGCAACAGCAAAAATCTCCGATCAAGTAGAAATAAGTTTTTGTTAAGGGAATATGGTGTAGATAGAAACCACCTGAACAAAGTTCAGAGTGAAGAACAGGTACCTTGAGTAGTCAGGCACAAGTTTTTATCTTGTGAATAGCAAGGCCATAATTATCTCTGTGTGCTGTTACCTGTGAAATGGTCTCTGCTGGTTTTGCCAGAGCAAATAATAGTGATTATTTGTGAATTAGCTGTGAAAAAGGCAATAGAGAAGTTCCTTCTCATAGCTGCATTTTATTAGGAATTATTTATAAACTAAATCATGCACTAGATTGTTTTGAGGTTTTTTGTTGTTTTGGTTTGGGTTTTATTTGTTTTGTTGGTGGTTTTTATTGGTTTGTTTGTTTTTTTTTTCCAGTTGCATTGAGATTATCTTTTCTTCAAAGCCTCAGTTTTTACCTTTGAAATCTGAAGAGTCTGGAATAGTGCAGAAGATCATTAAAGGCCCAAGTCATATTCATGACAGTGGGATAGCTTTGCAGAGTTGCTCAGCTGAAAGATATTGTGTGCTTTACAAACTCAGGTGAATGCTGAGATCAAAATCTAGATTAAAACACTTTTTCCTCCAGCTAGTTTTCGTTGCAGTTACCCATGAGCTTCCTATTAGGAATGGGATTGGCCCATGAATTCATGAAGACATGCAGTTTATGTGTCCTATCCAAAAGAGAATCAGAAATTTAATGTCCTAGGTCCTATTAACTTTCAATAAATCATTAGGTTTCCAAGAGGTTAAATTAGATTTGAAAATTACAGCAAGGCAACTGAGATTTTCTGGTTAAATCTCCAACCATTAGAATTCACAATTTTGCCAGAATAGGAGAAACCAAAGTGTTAAAAAAACCACTGTTGTAGCAAGGGTTTGTGGGGACAAGGATGGGAAGGAAGAATGAGAAGCAAATACAAAGGAAAGATGGAGAATGATAACTTAATAGAAACATAAATACAACTATATATACATTTGCACGTACTCTAAACACAAATGTCCATTTGTACCAATTTGGGCATAGGCCAAGGCACGCTGTCCACTACTAAGGCTTCAGTTTTGCTTAAAAACTGCACTTTGGGCTCCTGTTGCAAAGTGCCTCACACTTATTAGCAATGAAATTTTGTGTACTCTCTGACCCTTAGTGATGTCTCCACAAGTGGCTTGAGCCTCTCCCCCCACCCTGCTTGGTAATGGCACTGGAGCAGGATGGAACAGGGACTGAGGTTCCCAGGGCTTGGTAAACAACAGAACAGAAGGGTTTGAACCACTGTTTCTCCAGATTCCCTTCCTCAAGGGCCCTCTCTGGGTTTCTGGCATCTCCTTCTCTTTGGCTACAAAGCCTTTGCTTGTCAGAGGTTTTATTTCTGGTGTTGACCTCAAAAACCAGATCCCAGCCTGAAAAGAAGCTCCTTTGTGCTCCCAGAGAAGGATTGGCCCAGCTGAGTAAATGAGATGTTGTGAGGGGTGGTGTTGCAGCTCAGTTCTGCACAAAATACTGCTGTGCCTCCACACCAGGATCTGAGTACTTCACACTCCCCTTCTCCTTTCCTTCTCACTGGAATGGGGCAGGGGCAATATTCCATTTCTTTCCAGGTGAGGAACTGCTGGACCAAAACAACCTCATGGAAGACACCCACAGGTAGAGCAAAGGGCTGAGGTGTTGTGTTTGTCCTGTTTCCCCAGTGCCACCGCCCTGCCCATCCCTCACCCCTCACAGACGTGTGCCACCCGCCTGCAGTGTCACTGCCTCCTCTAGCAGGAGCTTACACAACCACCCATGGCTCCTCCAGACAGTGAGTGGCTTTTGGAGCCAGGATTTGCACGCTGGAATCACAGGCACAGTCCTGCAGAGTGGAGCTTTGATGCTGGGTCCCCTCTCCATGTCCGATGAAGTGCCTGAGCTGGGTCCCTCCAGGCATGGCAAGCAGCACTGAAAGTGGGCAAGTGTCCAGCATGGGCAAGTGTCCATCTCCCCAAGTGCTCTTGGTTCACTTTGCCTGGCTGCAGACACGAGGAATCAGCCTGCATTTTCATTTATTTTCACTTCAGGTTGTCTTTGCAGCTCACACGTGGTGTCCTCCTTGCCAATGTCCTCTCCCAGGGAATATCCTGGACGCAGAGCGAGCAGTACAGAAAAGCAGGTACCCCAGCTCAGCTCCAGCAACATTCTGCTCCTCTCTCAGGCATGGCTTGGCCTTTTTTCTGGCCCTTTTTCACTGCTCACACAGCATGAAGAGGTGGGAGGGAAGCACGGCTGCCCTGCTGTGCACGGGGGCTCCTTGTGTGTCAGGGCTCCACACCTTCCTCATCTCTCCCACCCCTCCAATGGAAGCACAAAACCCACACAATCAGAGCAGCTTAAAATTTAACCCACCAGGAAAGAAATATTTTAGGAGCAAGAGAGAGGGCTCAAGCAACAGGAAGCCTACTTGGGGTCCACTACTGCCTAAACATCACACTGTCATTTCTCATTTCAAGGTCACGTCTCTTACCAAAACTCCTCCTTCTTATGTGTGTACTTTTAAAACTCCAGGCTCATCTGAAGTTAAATGTTTTTGTTCAAGACTAAAGATTTGCTTGACTCTAAAGAAGTTATTTTTTTCCCCCGCTACTTTTTTGTTTTATGAAGGAAATATAAAAAAAAAAAAAAAAGCTGTAAAAAGTTGTCACATGGCCAGTAGAACTAAGTGCAAAGACCTATTTTCTACAAAGTTTCAATCTTATTAATCTGTAACATAGGTAATACACTGCAAGTTCCTGCATCGCTTGTCCTCTCTCTATCTTTCAGCACAAATTTTATTGGAAGGTGCTAAAATACACACGGGAGAGATGCAGATTCAAAAGCAGCAAAGTGATGTAGGAGGACGAGCCCTACTGAATGCCAACAGCAGCTCAGAAACCAAAGCCTCCTTCAGTGGTTTGTTTTGCTTTGTTTTGCTTTTTTGTTTTGTTTTGTTTTGGTTTGGTTTTTTAACTCTGTTTAAACCTGTAACTACCTAGCTAGATGCAATTTGTAAAGCTTTTGTGGCCCTCCGCACTTCAGGAATGTAACAAAATTATTCAATCACCCCTCCTCTTCTCCGTGTGCAATTTGTGCTACTCAGTGCATGTCAGACATCCCTGTGGGAATCGTGGTGTCAGATACATCACCAGATGCATTCCAATACCCAAATCTGGCTTCTGAGGCCTGCCCGTGTTCAACCCAGGTTCTTCAGATGTGTTATAAGGAAATTATCAAAGAGGTTACCAAAACCCTGGCAGAAAAATATCCTGGTTTGTATCTGCTTGCTGGTAGAAGTTTGCTAAACACTCTGGTGTGTTAATAAGCTATTAAGTACCATATTTGCACTGTAATAATAATTAAAATATCACCAGTGGGAATCTGACCCTGGGTGTACAAATCCTTGTATGACAATTAACATAGTAGGGAGATGTGCTCCTAAAAACAATTAAGATATAATTGGATGAGTTGATCCAGAAAACATATGGTTTATTTATAAGAAGGCAGAGGTGGAAGAAGCAGCCATGGCACAAATTAGAGCACAAGAAGAGACTACACTCTGGCACTCTAATTAACTGAACTATTTAATGTTATATTTAATTTAGTTTTTATCACAGAGAGAAAACCACCTAATTACACGATTTCACAGACACGTTTTCACCTTCACAACTCCTTAAGTTGTCAGATGATGCCACCCCCAAGTAGATGGCAAAACAGGCTTTCATTTGTTGTGTGCAAGGATGCCACCACTCTGTCCAATCTTTGTGTGGATTGTGGATTTATTTGTCTTTTTTTTATTATTATTATTTCTGTGGGATCGGGTTCTAGCATCTCTGAAATAATTTAAGACAAGTCAGAGCTCATCACGTGTGGCAGGGGTATGGTTTGGCAGCACACAAGAGCTGCTGGAGATCACACAAAAGATGCCTGGGGGACAGCCAGCTACTAGATTACACACTAAGCCTTCCTCCCCTCTGCCTGGCCAAAAGTTGTCTCCAAAAAGCTGGCAGGAAGAATAGAGTGGGGATTAACCTGCTCTTCTGGGGGAGAGCCCATCTCATCTCCTCTGTCTGCTGCAGGCATCCCTCCTGCTCAGGGCTGGATCCCCTGATGCCTTCTGCCCTGCCTGCTGGCTGTAAAGTGAGATGGCCATGAAATCCAGAACTGTGCTAATGTCTGTCTCATCGAGGTCCATAATGTGTTCTTATTTGTGAAATAGGAGGCAAAGCATTTCCCTCTTCCCATCAGTTCCTGAGGTTAAAAAAAAAAAAAAAAAAAAAAAAAAAAAAAAAAAAAAAAAAAAAAAAAAAAAAAAAAAAGAAAGAAAAAAAAATTGAAAGAAAGCTCATAATGTGCACAAACTCCAGCAAAAAAATGCAGTAAGAATGTGGTAAATAAGGTCTCCAAGAGGCCTGAAATAACTTGTTTGAGGACTGAGTATATCCTGGAGGAATGGGAAGGAGGTCCAATGAAAACACCTGTAGTTCCAGTGCTGGGAGATGGCTGACATGGTGCAGAGGCAGTGCTAAAACACGGCTGTAGAGTGAAAAGTGCTGGTCCTAAAAACCTCCCAGCTGAGTTTGGACCCCTTGGAATGAGAAACAGCCTTTTCTTTTGGGCCTGGGTGTTATCCAAACTAGGGCAACACCATCAAGACTGTAAAAGCCCCTCCAAAAGAACCAAAAACAGCAGAACAACACCCAAATCCCACAGCAAGCAGTGGGCTGGACAGTGAAGGCAGCACCCCCTGAGAAGCACAGTGAGCTCACCACACGTGGAGAAATCATTATGTCCAAGATGGGCAGAAAACACCTGAATCCCAAGAAATCCCTTCCTCTTTGACATCCTCTCCCTAGCAGGAAAATAAACTGGAACCATGAGATGTCGGATCCACCCAGGCAGTCTGTGCTGGAAGGAGGCAAA